TCACGCTTCTCCGGGGCAGTGTCGTAAAGGTAAAAAAAGCGCTTGTCGAGTGCTTCCTCATCACGCTTTTCCGGGGCAACATAGTGGGTATAGTAGAATCTCTTGTCCAGATCCTGAGGGGACGACTCAAGCTGGTCAAGGTTGCTGGAGACAGGAAGGGCGAAGGTGAACCCTGTGGCTCCCAGGAGCGCAAGAAGGCAAGAGAGGTGCATCTTGACAAGCAATGTAGTCCAAAATATTCAGAAGAAGTGTGGCGGGGGTGAGGTGTGGAAAGATGAGAAGAAACCGCCGATGTAGACAGGAAGTCCTTTATAGAAACTTGGATGGGGTGCTCAGGTGGTCTGCTTGGTTCCGCGCCACTGAAAGCACCCCGACTATCACAGTTCCCGCCGGCCCAGGTCTCGGGGGGTTTCTACTACCCTGTAGGCGGCTGTATGTCAGAATCACCGAATGAAGAACCTCTGGCATCACATTATAGACAGGTTTGTCCCTCAGAAGCTGTATCGATGAACCTTGCTGATCTCGACGCCACGCATGAGGCTACATCTTGGCATTGCAATGAAGAGTGATATATTGCTGAGCTATTACTTCATTGAGCTTTCATGCGGTCGATTTAGAACCAGGCGTACCGGTACCAGTACTGATTGTGAATCAAGTTGAGGAGTATGATTCATGGGTTGAACTATTCACATTCCCATGTGCAACAGTAGAAGCCACTAGTGTTGTGCAATCAGAGAAGGTAATAAGGCTCAGCTCCGAACCCACGTCTCTGCTAGTGGTACGGCATGACCGGGACCCCCACTCGGGCCTATCATTGCCGAAGAAGTAGTTCGAATGGACATCCATGCAGCAGCGTGTAAATGTGTTGTGAACCGCAAGTCTTTGCCCCATTATAATTGCCAATTCGACTGCAGGGGAGCTGAACATCAGCATGTGACCTTGTGATGCTCCGGTTCTAGGCCATCTCGGCTCAAGTAAGATAAGTCACATATGACCTCAGTGTGTTTATTGCATGCAATAAGTCTGTGATCTTCGCTTCAGCCCCGCCATTGCGGCTGGCGATGCACGAGACCCGCTGTCGATCACTTCTGGGACTGCATGATGCCATCCTGCTCTCATGTCTGACGCCCTCACTACCGTAGGTACTCAGGTTTTACTGTCATAGGCACTGCAGGTATCTTCTTCAATGCTGAAAGCGATTTCTGCCCACCTAGCTCTCACCTTCAGCATCTTATGGTAGAACCGAGTTTCCAGAGCATCACTCGCACCCACAATGGTGTTCTCTAAGCTTCTCAGAACCTTTCGTCAAGATTTCAAGTTTCAAGCCCTACAGACCGAGAGTCGCGATAGCGATGAAGAGAATATCGAGTCAGAGGAGCTGCTTACCAAGAGGAGCCCGCCGCAAAACCCCTCAAGAGCCTGGATATACTTGACAATCGCAAACGCACTTCTCCTGAGCATTACCATTGGTCTAGTCCTCAGCGCTAAAGGCAGCTTTTCGAGTGAAGAGAAGAATGCGATACTTAGGCCAGTGTCATGGTGGTGTGAGTCTCCATACTCCATTCCAAATGCTTCCCCGGGCCTAAACCAGTGGACTAACACAACGAAAGCACCTATCCTGGACGACATTGAGATTCCAAGGTACCAAACCACGCTAAACGGAACGCTCTTCGCTCTTCCAGAAATATCCATCGCCCGCGAAGAGCCCAGCGCTGCCAACGATGCCGATTGGGCGCGATTCGAAGACGTCCTAACACATGTTGTGACTCGCGAGCAAGTCCTCAAGCTCGGTAAAAACCCCGACACCGTCGCGCGCTTCGATAATGATTATTGGGGAATGGGAGATGATGCATACATGGTTCAGCTGGACGTGATGCATGTAAGAATACCCGTTGTCCTCGTTTCTCTGGTCCTTCAGCTGTACAAGGCAAAAGTACTGACCCCATGGAACCACAGCAAATCCATTGCCTGAACATGCTGCGCAAAGCCGCTTTCGCCGACTACCCCGGCTACGAACCCGAGCTGGATGTTAAAGATAAGATGTGGTGGATTCATTTGGGCCACTGCACCGACATCCTGCTACAGAATCTTCAGTGCAATGCCAACACGGAGGTCTTGACGTTGGACTGGGTCGAAGATCGTCACGCTCCATGGCCCGACTTTAGTGTGAACCGCAAATGTCGCGACTTCAATGCTCTCTTGGACTGGCAGCACGACAATGCGGTCGACACCGCCAAATTTGATGCCATGCCCTTACCGAAGGATGCATTCGTGTGGCCAGCCCCGTGGAAAAAGCAAGACTATGAACTCGGCATTAAGCTAGGCGACCATCATCTGCAAGAAGGGGAACCTCTTAAGGCCCCCCATGAGCATCATGCTCATCAATCCAATGTGACTTCCGGGGGCGGTAGATTTTGACAAGGGCCGCAAGAGGCTTGGTTTAGATGGAGTATCCTAATCGGTCTACGAAAAGATGTATGGGAGCATCGAAAGGGGATGCTGGTAGTTTGTCTAATGACACACACATACACGCACACTGCCTCTCTTTCTCCACCGCCTGTGACAAGTTGGATAATCCCAAGCGTAGGACTACATAGGACTCAGGGTAACCTCAAGATAGGGCTATGACGTGATGTTTGACGCGCTGGGAACTCTGTGCATATGCCTAAGTGTTTTCTCGACTCGCCTTGGGTATTCCAGCTCAAACTCATGATACCCACCAATCATAACCTAGATAGAAGTGGCCAGGCGGTCGAAGCCACCTTGGAAGCAGCTGTACGAGGGCGGAGACAAGCGGCCATCCTGTACATGCGCAATTTTTACCGTCTCTAGTCAGCGGAAAAAACAAGGCATCTCCATCCCCAAAGTGGGGACGGATACATCCGAAAATCAATTGACTCTGATTGGTATTATTGATATTATCCAGTCGGGATTTGTCTTCTGCCTCAGTTCATAGCTTAGATCCGAAGGTAAGATGTAACTACTTAGGTAGGTATGTAATTAAGAGCACTAGGTAGTTTAGTAGTTATCAACGGTGTACACTGCGTCTCTGTACTCCGAGTGGATAGTAGCCAGTTACAACAAGTCAAATAATGCCCCGCTGCTTTGCAGGTGGCTGGCTGGAAAGGTGCTCATATTCCAAATCGGGAAATGATCAGTCTTACTACCGTCGGTGAAGGGACTTAGTGAGACAAACTGCATTTACAGGATCGCCGCTAACTTTCTTATTCACTTATCATTCGCCTACGACATAGATGCACTATTATTCTCGACCCCGCTGTCTATCTGCAATAGATGCAGGAACTGTCATACGGTCGGCAACAAGCGTTTTAATTGAATAAAGTGTGCTGCACTATACGTAGGTGGTGTGTGATTCAAGCATACCGTGGTAGAGCTGTCACATTCCTCACGCACCGAGTGAGTGTCTGTGCAGAAATATTCACCGCCATTAGTCCCTCCCGGAATGCTGATTCTAAAGAGAGAGAAACTATTATCCTGCTTGTGCAGAGAACCCCCACGTACCAGCCTTCCATTCCAGCAACCGAGCCATCCTAAGAGCCCTTTTTGCGTTCCACATCTACCTCGGCTCTCTGCCCGCTCCTCACAATGGCCTATCCTGACGTGTCGTTGGAGTCAGGTAATAATCCCCACGGCGAGGATGAACCTTTCCTCCCTAGAGGGCAACCTGCCAGCCAAGCTGGCTGTAGCGGGGCTCCAGAGCCAAAGCTGTCACCACGTACCCGTCTGCGCCTGGTCATCACCGTGGTCGCGATTCTGTTGAGCTTCCAAGTCGGCGGCCAGATGATCGGGGGTCCAATGGTGCGGGTGATCGAGATGATCGCCTGCGATAACTATTGGCGTCGACACGACCCAGCTCGACTGCCCGCCTCCGGCCATCTGCCCGAGCACCTGTGCAAGATAGCAGAAGTGCAGACCGAAGTCGCTACGGTGAAAGGATACTCCGACTTGCTCGAGGGACTACTGTGTTTGTCAAGCGCCAAACCTTAACAGAAATATGCGTTAGTGCTGACCTTTCATGCAGGCGCCATCTGCGCCATTCCCTACGGACTGCTGGCGGATCGGTATGGTCGCCGACAAGCTATCCGCCTCACTATTCCAGGGTTTCTGCTCAATGCGATCATCACCAACACCGTTCTATGGTTTTCGGGCACTTTCCCCCTCCGTGCGATCTGGCTCGCCGCACTCAGCTGGATCATCGGGGGAGGACCAGCCGTGGCACTGGTCGTGATTTGGGCCATGCTGGCTGATCTGGCCACCGATGCGCAACGCGCAGCGCTGTTCTTCCGGGTCGGACTTGCCAGTCAAGTGGCAAGTTTCCTGGCCAGCTTGATCAGCTCGGGACTCATGGCTCTCAACCCATGGATCCCGCTGCTAATTGGTTGTGGTACGGTGATGATAGGCCTTGGCTGTGCGCTGTCACTTCCCGAGACCATGAATATGCCCGTGAGAAGCAAAGAGCCAGCAGCACCAAGCCCAGACGAGTCAGTATCGACATGTGATACATCTTCGAAGCCAGTGCTGACACCCATTTCACTGCCGAAAAGGCTGGCACGTCTCATCCATCCTTACCTGTTCATCTTCCACCAGCAATCACTCTTGCTCCTATTCTCCTTTGCAACAGTCGAGCTCGTGCAGCGCTCCTTCCCGTTCCTAACCCAGCACATTTCAAGACGCTTCGCCTGGACTTTGGCGCAAGCGAACTTGATCGTTTCCTTCCATGCGGGGATCACCATCCTCGTCTTCCTGTTCCTCCTCCCGTACCTCTCCCAAAAGGTTTTGCACTATTTATCCCTCCCACAAAGAGACCTGCAGGTCGCGCGTCTCAGTCTTGCCGCTCTGCTCCTGGGGTCACTCGGAATTGCTCTCTCGCCATCAGTCTTCTTTTTGATTCCCAGTGTAAGTGTTTATGCGGCGGGAGCGGGTTTTGCCCTAACCATGCGGTCGCTGGCTACCGCGTTGGTCAAACGCGAGGAGACCGCGCGACTGTATTCCGCGATCGAGATCCTGCAGTACGTGGGCAATATCCTGGGTAGCCTGTGCTTTACGAATATGTTCAAGCTGGGATTGCAGATTGGCGGACTGGGGTCCGGGTGGGTGTGGGTGTTGGGTAGTCTGCTCTATGGGTTGGTGGGAGTCGCATTGACACTTGTACGGGTATAGACCTGCATACCCCTTGCGGCCCCAAAGGACTGGCTCTTTAGAAGGAAAGCGATAAATGCATGTTCATGCAGTATAACATATATATTCTGGTTGACTTCAGTTCTTCGCACATGAGTAGGTAGTCATTAATGATACATCTGTCTTCGTGAAAGGCGCAGGGCCAAGGGCAGTGGGACCTAACTTCATCCATCGAGGCTCGAATTCTCATCACTTTCAGCGAGGACCAGTGACCTTGGCATCTTCGCAAACCCCCCCATCCGATGCATGAGGATGTAACATGAACTCACAAACATCTCATCGGTCACTCGAGCCTGCGGCCGAAGGCGAAAGACGATACCGCATGGCACCAGCGCCTTTGTAGCTGCGGGATGCGGCTTTCAGAACATCTTGGGCCACCAGACCTTCGTTTCCCAAGACCTTGAGAATGGATCCTATTTCTTCACCGCTTGCGCGTTCTGCGCGCGTTCTGTGAGTTTGAGAATGAAGCGTTTATCCGAGGCGAATACTTCATGCCGTGCTCAAACCAACACTGCCATACTCCGGGCCCTTATCGTGATTGACAATATCAAGAGCTCCCCGATGGGTGGGGAGATCTCATCATTTGCATTGCGCCTTTCAAGCAGCAGCTCGAGGATACCACTGCCGGACTTCGTGTTCTGAAGACGACTGATCACCACATCCTCCGTGATAGGCACAGTCGCGGACTCCCTTTTTACATATTGATCCAAAAAGATGGCCATGAGCTCCAGGCTACTCTCCTCGTTGCCGACGACACGGCTATTACTATTTCTCCTTGATATGAGCTTCTTTGCGCTTGCTTTACTCGTAGATTTCTCCTGAGTCTGAAAGTGCTTCAATTATATCTGTTCTTGCGCTTCGCGGGATGCACCGTATAGTCTGGTTTAAATCATCATCATCATTGTATAATTTATTAATTACTCCAAACAAGAGGTGCGGAGGGAGCTGAGAACATTTTGGAACTTTGATTCTAACAAATACTTAGATTCTTTGTTTATCTGACTATTTGATTGTACTATTAGCAAATCTTTCTGATCGGGAACCTTCCATCATCTAAGTAATGATAGAATCTGTATAGTAGATTAGTTTTGAGTTGAGAATCATTCGCATAGCCTCTGTGGCTATACTTCCACAACTTCAACAGGCGCGGGGAAAAGCGCCTCCCAAGCCCCCAGAAGAAGATGCCACTTGTGAGCGCGGTCGGATAGAAAGAGGTTCACCGGCCGCGGATGCGCCCAGATGCGTACATCACCGTCTGGGGTGGTCAGCGCCGTCGAGCCTCTGTCGGGCCAGACCTCGTGAAGCCCTAATTCGAAGAGCCGCCAATAGTCCCACAGCCCCATGCCCAGCGCCCGGAAGGACCCGGGTGCTATGTTGTAACATGCCGCGGGGTCTCCGTCTTCTTGCAGTAGACGCCAGGCGTATACGAAGTCCAGGACCTCGTGGTGCGCGGTATGCTCGCCACTCTGGCCCCAGAGCTCATGCAAGAGGTCCCCCTCCCGCGGCTGGGCCGGCGGCGACCACACCTCGAAGGGGCCCGCCGGGCAGCGGAATGCATTGGGGAGTCTCTCTAGCAGGAAGACTTTGTGGTTGGCGTGAATCCGGTACTTCCTGTCGAGGTCAAAGCATTCGGGGACGAACTTGTCTTCGTCCTCGCTGGGAGCCTGGGGTGAATAGGTCGTGCAGAGATCAGGAGACCCGGCGTAGAGGCTTTCAAGGCACTCCGAAACTTCGCATATCTCCTCCCAAGCGGCCGTGTTTTTACACAGTGTTTCCCACTCGGTATCGTCCTCTGCGGTATATGGCTCCTGCCTGCAAAGTCCGCTCCAGTGGAGATGATCTCTCTGAAGAGATAGCACCCGCTCGTCCGTCCATCGCAGCTGAACAGCCACCTGCAAGAAATCGCTAAAGGCCTGCAAGTGCCACAGGGCACGGTAGACGCGGTACTCCTCGATCCAAGAGAATGCACCCACGTCTCGGAGCTTACGCGGGACCAGAGACGGCATTTCTCGGATGTCTTTGAAGTACTGGGGCAGTATCGCTTGCAGACGTGCTCGCAGTGTTGTCAAGCACATGCAGGCCAGACGTTGTATATTGGCGGCGATGTTTACCACTGCGCGGAGAGACGCGCGAGTCGCCGTAGACATAGAGAGGCGGTGGCCATGTTTGCTACTCTGGAGGTCGAAACTGGTTTTGTCAACAAAGTCGTACAGACTCGTGTGCGGAATCGGCCCTCGTAGCTCGACACACACCATGAAATATCGTTCGAGATAATCATACGACATAATTGAATTATGCTCGAGGATATGCCTCACAAGAGCCATCGCTTCAGGGTCTGCAGGACTATCAGGTTTATTTCCCGGTTCGAACAGCGGAGTCAGCTGCGTCAAGTCCACAATAAGATCTTCCAGGGTCACCCAGTCTGCTGCGGTTTTGACAATCTCGACGAGTGACTCGCGGGGGACACGATCGAAAGTATCCATCCTGGCGAATTCGCGTGGTCTGCGGTACACGTTGTATGTTTGAAGTGTGATCATGGCTACGTCTGTACACGAGATTGATGAGACATGCCATTGAAGGTGTAAGGCTTCTCGGTTCTTTTATAGTTTTGGCCTCGTCTTCTGCTCCGGGTGAATACGGTGTCATTAGATAGTCTTGAACAGATGATACAGGTATCCTCCCGTAGTGGAATGGCGAGTTTGTCCACTTGATTGTTGGTTCGACTGATTACAGTTGAAATATTTCAGAAGAGAACAATTGGGAATTCTTTTTCAATGAGGCCTATAGCCTTTGTTTCGCGCTTGGTAGCAAAGAAAGCAAGCACTGAGCAGTCATGGATTCCGCGTCAATCCTTTCAAGGACTCATCCTTGGAAAACAATCCTCCGCTTCTCTGAAAACGTAGACCAAGCCTCAGTCACAAACATGTCTAGGTAACCGACGTTGTTGCCCGCTTTTCTCGTTCAAGCCACCGCTGTGCACAGTGACCGTAAGATGCTGCATACTTGCGACTTCTAGTGCACAAGACGGGCTCAAAGCCCTGAAGACGTTGCGATGAAATTTACTTGCTTCGACAGGATACTCGACAGCCTGCTTGATGTGCTCTTGCAGAACACCTCGATTTCGATTGATCGACTTCATCTCGATATATCTGGATGCTAAGAATGGAGCCTCAAGTCTTCCCTGGCCCACAAGGCGCCTATAAAAATTTAAGGTACAAGTCCATTTGTCAACTCGGATAACTGAGCCCAAAAGTCCATGTCGCACTGCTCCCCGCCGTATGCATTGACTGGGTCCACTAATGCCGGGCCCGGAGGCACCACGCCACCATTTAGCTTGGTCGAATACCCACGCTCGATGCCTCGATATGCTTCGGCGTAGGCGGAGAAAATGGGCCGGCCTTGAAGTAGGATTCTGCTTCTGGGGCTGCCACCTCTGCTCGCAACCTCAAACCTCTTGCTCAGCTCCCGAAGCATACCCGGAAGATCATACGTAGCGCGTGCGGTGGTCAGATCCCAGGCCTGGTCCTCAACACACAGAAGACGCAAGGCTTTGATGATGGCAAGCGCGAGGTGCAAGACGGTTACGAAAGTAAGGGTGGGATACGATTCGACCGGCACCAGGCGGAATTCGTCATGGAGTGCCTGTGTGCTCTGCAAGCAATCCCATATCCTGCGGCATCTGAGATGTGTGGGCTCAATGATCTCTGTCTGGTCGCCGTATCTGAAGGGCTCAAACAAGCGAATGCGGACTGTGGCGCAATGGGTTTGCAACAGATCTTAGCTGAGGAGTTAGCTAAACCCCATTCACGTGTTCAATTCTTGGAAGCTGACATACGGCTCCACTTCAAGTTGGCGGGCAGCTGGTCGACAAATGCATCCAGCTCAGTTTGGAAAGAGGCAACAGCGATAGAGTAGATACCGCCGAGCGGCCTGTCATTGGTGGCCCCGGTCGTCTCCCAGAACGCGTCTTTTACCTTCATCGCAATTTTCTGTATGCGCACAAGCTGCACGAGCAATGCATCCGTCGGGTATTCCTGATCGTGTAAAAGTTGACTACAGCAGTCATCGAAGTGTGCTGTGTACTCTGGCTTGCATCGTTTGCCGAGAAGGCTGCATAGACTATTGGAGTACGGGTCAACATCATGACACTACAAGGTCGACAGTGTCAACACATACGAGGAGGTTATATAGTAGACCCCGAGCAAGGTTCTTCGATCCGCGCGAGTTTGTTTCGGCTGGACTGGGAGATCATCACGTAAATGAGCTGCATCCTCGACAATCGATTTGAACGATAAATCCGTTGTCTTTTGGGGTCTAGTCAGCTTCAGATCTTCGACCAAACCGATTGCTAATTGCAGAAGTGCTGTATCTTTTTCTGTGGCATAAAAATAGATGTCATTCCTAACCACACAATCCTGTCAGCCTGAGCCACAACTGCTACCAATTGGGGAGAAGGTATAGGTTCCTACCAGGCAAGAAAGACCAGTATTGCTTGTACAAGCTCTAGGTTCTTACCCGTCAGAACAACAGCCTCATGTGCAATCTGCCGCCGAAACCAGCTCTCGAACGCAGCGGAGGAGTTGAACGGTGGAGGTCTACAGACACATATGATCGTCTTGGTGAGAAGTGGCTTCTCTTCCAGTGCCTGGGAAAGATTAGAGGAGGGCAGAGGGACGAAAGGGAATTCGGGAAGCATGGTGGTCATGTATTCTTCAAGGCTCTGATCGGCTTCATGACGAGTAATCTCGAACCCGGGGAATACAGAAATCAATCCGTGCGGCGGGGCTATTGATTCCAGATTCTCCGATGAAAGAGCTGCGGGATGGATTTGAGGCGTTGTGGTTGGCGTAGCGCCCTCGGTTTGGTGGAATGGAGGACGTTGCTCGGAGTCAGGTGGGCGTTTTCCATCACCAGTCAACAGGTCCATGATATCGTCCAACTTTTGTTCTAATATTTTGGCATGACTGGGGCACTCCCAATGAGTTTCATGTGATTCATGGCGGTCGGACCCGCCACTGATC